AACTGAATTGATGTGTTCGATTAAGTTCTATGTCAAATAAATCGAAGATCGAGAAATCTAAATGCTAGACTAACCATTCCATAGGATTGTCAGCATGATATCTAACAGAGGACTGTACGATCCCTTATCTAAAGGACAAGATTGATTAGATCAGAGTTGACAGCGTCTTTGAGAGCTACGATTGCAAACCGTATTGTACTTGTATAGTTACTAGACTTATCCAAGTGGGAGACTGTTGGAATAGTGTCTAAGGCTATAACTATATTCGGTGGTGCATGGTCCTTTTGGGTTGCCTTCACCATAGCAACTTGAAGGATGATTTGTTAAGAGAGAGTAAATATTATAAGGAATAATATTTAGCTATTTGATTAATATAAGTCATAAATTAATTGGTATTAATTTGGTGACTTAAAGAGATTAATTAAATAAGAGGGTATAAACTGTCAATTGTTTGATAGTTAGACTTTAGACTGTAAATCCATTAGATGGACCTTGGACGGATTCTAAGAGCTTTAGGATAGCTCAAATCGTCCATATGGTTATCTATGGAATGGATTTGGATAGCCTTAAGAGAAGATTATCCAATTAGGGTTTAGGGTGAAACCCTTAAGGAGTCTACAAGTATAAATAGGCCCTTGGGATGGGGAATTCGTGTACAACCTGACACAACCTTAAGCAAGGATACTCTGGCCGAATTCCTCCCCTCTCCACTCTCCTAAATCATCTTGCTTGCTATTGGTGTTTGTAAGCCATTAGAGGAGTGACAATTGTGACTCTAGAAGCTCCAAGACAACAAGATCAACAAGGAACTCAAAGGTATGATTCTAGATCTGTTTCATCATTGTTATTTAACCTAATTAGCTATTAGAAGTCTTTGATTCAAAGCATGTTTATTAGAAAGCCTAGATCCAAGCAATAGGGTTTTGCATGTGCACATAGGAAAGTTCTTATGGCTAAAACCCAACAGTTACAACTAAGCCCGTCTCCGATCAACCCGCAACCGCAACAAGCACCGAAAAACCTACAAAATATCTTATGCAACATAACAAGCACCCGGTACGATCCAAACTAAAGAAAATAAAATAAAATACAATGCATTAATGATAAAAAGATCTAAAAATCTAAAATAAACTAATAAAAATAAGGAAATAAAATAAGCTATCAATCCTCGTTTCGAAATTCATTTCTAGTTGTTTCTAGTTATTAAGGGCACCCTAAAAATGACATTGCTTTTATTAAGAAAGTTATACAAATTTAGTTATGACCTTAGACACTAATCCAACACATCACCCCTTTGGAGTTTGAGGGATCCAATATCTTGTGCATCTTCTAGATATTTATAAGTGTTCAAGTTCTAAGATTAATGGTTTGAATTTCATAGATCTAGCATTTTATGGCATTTTGGATCCCTTTTATGATTTTGGTTGGAGTCTATGGAAGAACTCTAGCTAAAGCTTACAACTTTATCAACCTTGAGTGTCCTTGGAGTATTTTATCTTTTAGATCTAGAACCAAAATGTGATTTGGGGCCATTCAAAGTATAAAGGTCATATTTTTACCATTTTGACCAAAAATGGTACAAAACATGTATGTGGTGTGTATGACCATAAAGTTATAAGTTTTATGACTCATTTCCATGTGTTAAAGGCTTCTGGAAAGTTTGAGGCTTGGTCATAGTAGGTTAAGAACTTAATAAATAAATGAGTATTCCAGGCGTACCGTGACATGGCCAAGGGCTAACCACGACGCAGTGGGCGAAATGCAAGCATCTGATCTATCTCCAGTTACCACGACACGGTGGTGGGTTGTAACATTAGTATCCTGTATTTTAGCCACCATGACGCAGTGAGTCGACTGTTGACTTTGATCATTGCCTTTTGACTAAGTTTGACTTTCAGTCAAACTTTAGGGTTTTTGGTCATAGATTGTAACGCCTATAGATCCGTACTAGTCAATTTAAAGACGATAAGCATTAAAAGTGACTTTTAGATAAAATATTATTTAGAATGAATAATCTTAACTAGGTTGCAGTGGTCGTGACAAGGATTCCGGATATATAAAGAATGCCGAAATCCGAGTTATAACGAAGAAGTTATGACATGTCAAAGTTTCGTGACAGAACCAGTACGAAACTGCGTGACGTAAATACTGAATTTACGATAGAGTTCTATTTAGCCTTAGTGATCTAATGAAAGTCATAGAATACGTTAAACCGATAGCGTACATAAAAAGAACATCCAAATCTGACTTCGTATAAGGAAGTTGTGATTTTTCGAAGTTTTGACTTACCGGTATGCAACCCAAAGTTCAAATATGAGATCAAGTGGTTTGTAGTCGAAACAATCTAAATGAGAATCGAAGATCTCATTGATAGTAATGCAATGGTAAAAGGATAGACGAAAACATACGTCAGATGAAGGAGTTGTGAATTCCTAACGGAGTTTTTCTGTCCCGACCTACTAAAAATAATATAATAACAGTTAATTCAAAATTCGCTGACGGAGTCTAAACGAGAGTTGTAAAGCATAATCTCACCTACGCGTGGATATAAAAAACTTCGAAAACGGAGCTCGTATGCGAAAGATATGAATTTTTAAAGTTCGGGGCGCGAACCCCAACACTATGTCAGAGTTCACGACGTGAACACAGTGTTCACAGCGTGAACTCAGTATTAATGTCTTCTGGAGCCTGACAGAACCAAGTTGCGATGACGCACCTAATGACTACTGAACTTACGATGTGAATTTTGAGATTCAAGATGTGAATCCAGAAAAATGACCCTATAAATAGAATCCCAAGGGCAGCTGGCCATGGTTGCTAATTCCTTCACTCTCTCACTCCCGATACCCTCTCTCGCCCTCTTGAAGTACCCCCGAAGCCCCAGTATCACCCCGACACCCCAAGCAAGCCCCGAAGCTCCAAAGATCCCGAGAAGAAAATAGTTTCGTGCCGAAACTCTGCCCGCGAGAAGCCCGGTTTTTGTGAAGATATCCCGATTACATCAAAAGAATTGTACTTGAAGAGCAGTATTTTGTCCGAGCATCGTCTAATCAAGTGAGTGTGTAGTTACTTTTTTCTAAAACAGAGATATGAAGTATTTGCTATGAAATACGTGTTATGTGTTTATATATTGTTTGTTTACTTGAGATGGGTGTTGGATGAATGTATTATATAGGTTTTAAATGATTTAAACTGTATATGTATGTTATATCCACAAATATGTTGGGTAGAACATGGGTAGATGAAATAGTTGGTGTGTAATAAAAGATGAGTTGGTTGATGAGACGAAATGTGATATAGATCATGAGATGAGGGTGACAGGTGAAAAATGAAGGAAACCTTTACCCAAACGATGGCCCCATCATTCAGCAGAGTCGAGATGAGAAGCATGAACTATTCTAGACAGTCCAGTGGAACACTATCAGGCTCGCAACTTATAGGTGTTGTGCACTTGATGGGTACCAATGTACTCTAAAAACCCTGACGACTATGAGACTTAGTGCCTAAACCATGGAGACTATGTGACTTAGTGCCTTATAAATATACACTGGCGATTGTGCGACGTAGTGCCTGTTGTAAAAACCCTGGCGACTATGAGACGTAATCTCTGTTAAATAAACCCTGGCGACTATGCGACATAGTGCCTGTTGTATAAACCTTGGTAGAAATAGACTTTGTGTCTATTCCTTAGGTTCATCCTTAGGTATGAATGAATGAAGGATATATGATTCTTAAAGTAAATCCTTAAGAAATAAATGAGATGGTGGGAATGGGTAATTGGGTTGATTGTTTGATGATTAAATATAATAATTATATTATTGTGGGTTGAAAACCCTATATGCTCACAAGGCTCCCAAGCCCGACACACTCAGTTTCCTTTGAATTACAGGTAGTGCCACAAGAGCATAAGTTGATTGACATGACGACAGCTTTTGGATTATAGATCAGTAGTTATAAATAACTATTGTAAGGTCTATTTTATATTGTTTATGTTTTTTGTTTGTATCGGAACATGACTTCCCGAGATTTTGTTATTTAATGAAAATACGTTTCTTTTAACAAATGTTTTGAAAAATTCTTATCATATTTTGTTTTGGAACAAATTCTACAACTCTTTTAATCAAAGGATTACTCTAATTTTATAAAACAAAGCATAAACAAATCGGTTTTTTCTGGCCGTAAAAATGTAGATGTCACATAGGTTAAGGTTTGAGCTATGAATACATGTTTAGGTGGTTGTTGTGCCTACCTTCGTATGTTTCGAGCTATAAAGGTTTATTGCTTTGTTTGTGAGGTAAGCTATATCACTATACTTTGTACTACAGTAGATTATTTGTATGTTAGGATGCTAGTATGTTCTAGTGAATTGTTAGACATGTAGATATGTTATAATTACTTGTCATTTGTTATTTACATGTATATGTCAGCATCTTATGGATGGGTTGAAGGCGGTCCAACTGTGTGCTGAAGACCAAGACACCCGAGCAGTCCAGTTAATATTCTAGGCCCAAAGGGAATGATCCAGCTTAATATTGTTGGCTCAAGAGGCGATCCAACCTTGATATGTAAGATAATATATATGTAATATATTTATTAGAAAAAGTTTATATATGTAATGTTTTCAATACATTAAAACCTTATTAATTTTAATAATTCAAAACTTTCTTATTTTTCTTATAAATTTAAACTTTTCAAAATGTTAAAATTTCATATTTAATTTTTTTTAATAAATCCATGTAATGATCTCACACCTAATTATTATAAATTAAAGTTTCAAATGTTACTAAAGAAAATTAGAAACTAGTGAATATTCCATATTAATACCATTTGAAATGGGACTAATAAGATTCCATATCCATAAGTTTCATCTCCCATATTAACACAATTAAAACATGCTTTACAACTTTTTCTTCCTCATCTATACCAACAACTACTACAACCTCTCTCTTCTAAGCCCACCACCCTCCCCATCCATCAATATACACACCCCCACCCACCCACCCACCTTGGCTTCAAACACAAAACAAAAACAAAAAACCAAAAACCATCAATCACTCATCCATTACAAGCTCCATGTGTCGATTAAGATCTTTCAGATACGTGGTAGAATTGTAATTATCCACATCACAAGCGTCTAAAAGCACTGCCCTTCCTCCTGCCGTTTTCTGTTTAACTTCAGCTGTCTTGCTTTCACCCTTAAGTATCTCCACAACCTGCACCACAAAGATAAAATAAATGTACGTGTCTGAGTTTCCATGGATCATCAATGTTTCAAGGAGTTTAATTTCTTTCACCATTGATTAAATTAATCAAATTACCCGTTTCATGTTTGGACGCATGTTTGGAAGATGATGAATGCATGCTGACGCTGCTGACATCACTCGTTTCAGTTCGATCATTTCATAATCGTCTTCTAAACGTGGATCCAGAAGCTCTTTCATCTTGCTTTGCTCAAGAAGTGGTTTTGCCTACATATGCACATATTCAACATAACAATTTCCTTATCTGAATTCAATGTATCCAAATTAACCTTACCCAGATTACGAGACTTTGTCGAGATGAATCAACTGCACGACGACCGGTTATAAGCTCAAGCAAAAGAACACCGAAAGAGAACACATCAATCTTCTCATGAACAATTCCATGCATGAAATACTCAGGCGCCATGTATCCGAAGGTTCCTTCAATTGGGGAAACAATATGGTGTACCCATTTCTCCGGGAGCCATTTTGCTAAACCGAAATCAGAGATCTGAACAATCATATGATCACCTAATTAAACGAGGAGTAAAAGGTTGCTTGCGTCGATGGAGGTAATTAAAGGGAAAATTATAAAATTAACCTGTGGTTGATAGTCTTCCATTAACAAAATGTTTGAAGCTGTGATATCTCGATGAATTATGCGTCTGTGACATTCGCAATGGAGATACTGCAAACCTTCCGCGATTCCGATCGCGATCTTAAACCTTAACCCCCATTCTAATCGCTCTTCACCATCTGTGTACAAAACACATAGGATTAGATCGATCACGTGAGCTCTAAACCTAGATCTGGTAGAACCCTAGCTAGTTGATGTGACTGATCGAAGGATTGAAAAAGGCGTAAGGAGAAAGATGAAAAGTTTACTGTGTAGTAAAGTTGCAAGGCTGCCATGAGGTGCGAATTGGAGGACAAGGTGCAGATCAGTGTCAGAGCTGAATCCGATCAATCTAGCGGCGTTTGGGTGGTTGATGTGAGCGATGATTCCGAGCTCCGATAAGAAGTCGCCGACTCTGTCTTCGTCTTTTTTCTCTTTTTTCGTTATTCTTTTCACCGCCACTAGTTCGCCGTCCGGTAACCGTCCTTTGTACACGTCAGCATGCCCCCCTCGTCCCACCAAATTATCTATTTTAGAAATAAAAAGTTAAAACAGATTTTTGATTTTATTTTGTAAGATGAAATTAAATTTGAAGTAAAGTCAAAGAGTCAACGTGCTAGAAACAATTATGAAATTAGGTTTATATTTATTTGACAACAGTATCTGATATATCTATCATGTGTTGTTGGACCTACTTTTTAGTGAAAGAGTTGTACTTGTTTTGTTTGTGATCTCATCAAAATATCATTTTTGATTATGAATAATAAATAGCAAAAACATAGCATCGAGAAAAAGTCATTATATTTTGATCAATTTTTAATTATATGGGTTAATGATTATATTTTTGTCAAAAACATTTAATGGCTTTACTAGAATATTTAATATCAAAGTATAATTTTTTTAAACGGTAACACTTTCACCAAATCAAGACTTTGACAATAGATTCTATTGTAGAAATTTTAACCTACTATAGTAGGTAAGCTTGAGTGATTTTAATTGACAAAACTACTAAAATATATTAGATTTTATGTAATTTGTCCAATGTAAATAAATAAGTAGAAAGTAAAAACACTTTGGACAACTTTCATGACTTTTATTGACAAAATTGTAATATAATGGTTAAATCACAAAATTACTAGAGTACAATAGCTTTAATGTAATTTGTCCATAATAAATAAATAGTAAAGAATATTATGGACAACTTTCATGTTTATTTTTCAAATAAGAAACGGGAACCGAATGAAGGAATATGATAAGTATTATAATACATGGAGCAAGTATAGTGAAATGGTTTAAATTTAGAGAAGATTAATTAAAAAAGGTTTAATTTTAGGTTTGTAAAAATTAGTAATTTGTTTCCTAAAATGGATGGTTGTTGATAGGTTAAGCATGCATCCCTCATGACTACTTAATTATACAAATAAAATAAAATTCAAACTATCCAATTTTAATAATCAAAAAATGGAAACCAAAAATCCATAAAAGTGTGAGCCAAGATGTGGACTAGACACCTCTTTAGTCAACTTTATTAAATCCCATCGTTTGACCTTTCTTTTCTCCTTAATTTTATACTATGAAAACTACTAAAATCAGTTGCATGGATTTATTTTTAATTTTTTAGTAAGAATGTACCGATTTATGCAAATATAAACTCATAAGAACTCTAATTATATAAAACGCAAAATAAAAACGGTTGCTTGGCTTGCTAACTAAAACTATTTAAAAAAACTAGTTTTTTATTTGACAAGCATTACAAATTTAAAATTAAATAAAATAACTAGAAAATAAGTTAAATTTAACAAGACTAATAATTATAAGTAAATAATGCAAATTTGATGGAAAATGTTAGTCCTCCTATGAAGTAAAAATAATATTATATTTTTCAAATTTGAAAATTTAAGTTTTATTGGGGAAATAAATAAAGATATATGAAGAGGTGCGCCGAAAAGAATCTCACCGGAGCTGAAGTTATCGGTGGCGGCTGCAAGTTCTTCCAACGTAAAATTCCGCCACGACGGTTTCGGAACTGCCCAATTCCCGCCATCAATCGCCTCTTCGATGTTATGATTCTTCGCTAATCTCTTCATCAAACTCTTCCTCGAAAGCTCATATCCAGCCACCAACGGAAACGTCGATAGCCTCTTAATCGACTTCCACTTCAAATTATCAACCAAATTCCTCCACGCCGTCGACGAAGGATTGCCGACCCCCGCTCCGCCGCCGCCAGCCTCCTCCTCTCCACCGCAATCAACTTCTCCCTCCGGAGATTTATCATTGAAAGACGAACCGCGGCTGCTGAGGCTCCGGCTTACGCTGCTCTGATTATCGGAATCCGAACCAGATACAGGAATTTCCAACACGCCTCTCGGAGACGATTGGTCCTCGTGATCATCACCATCTTCGATCTCTATAACCTTTTCATTTTTAGGGGCTTCGTCTACAACCAAAAAAATCATCAAAACAGAATGAGATTAAATTCCTACCAAATACAGAATTATCACAAAAACTATAAAAATCAGAAGACGTGAATCACCGTTCATTATTGGGTTCCTGTGAAATCAAAATTTAAAATCTGAAACTATCAGTTTCTTCAAACATAAAAGTTTAATAAGGCGCTTGGTCCATATCCGCCCTATTGTGGACGCGGCGGCGGAGGAGACGGTGGCCGGAAATGCTGTGGAAAGATGAAGAAGGAAGGCGTGGGAGGAAATTATTCTTTGAATGGAGAGGGGATTTGGGGGGTGAATAGAATCTTGTGTCCATATTTATACACCTTCTCCAATAAAAAGGGTTTTTGTAATTGTGCCTTTCCATAACCCTTTCCCGGCGCCAATTTCACCCTATTCAATGTCATGTGGAGTCGGTAATTTCACATTTAATAACAATCTTTATAAAATCTCACATAATTCATTTCTAAAAATTAAATGTCCACATAATTCGTCTTATATTATTTGATTGACATCTGTTGTGTGAGAAATATTTTTCGAATAAATGTATTTGTAAAGTCAAATTTTATGATTGACAAATGTAATGTAAATTTCAGATGTGTATTGTTTTGTGATATTCTGTTTTTGAAATTTTAACTATGTATTTTTTTGTTAATTTAATGTTTCGTTCTAATTTGGGTCGTCTACTTTAACTTTGTAAACTTTATTTACCTTATTGTATGCTTTTAATTCTTTTTTCATATTTATTATGGTAACTTCATATGGTATAGTAGGTTCAATTCATCTTTGAATTTGGTTAATGAGTGCCCCATGGTATCATTTATTGCGGATTTAATCCATTAACCCAATTTGATTAAAAATAAAATGTTAAATATATGATTATTTTGCTCATAGTTTTTTTTATTTTATTTTATTGTTAAAATTATATTTTATATTGTAATGTGGATCCCACCACAAACAATCATCTTACATCTTCCATCTCTTCGATTGTCAAGTTCAGTTACCGAAGACCTTTTACCCTTCTTAACAGGTTTCTAAATGATGTGAGTCATACATGTTATGACAAGTCATGTTGTTTTTAAAGAGTAATTTAAGGCTATAATTTTGTATACATAATAAAGAAGCATATAATTATATATTTAAATAAAATATATCAAGTTTTAAAAAAGTTATATCAATACCTAATAACAAAACTCAATGATTTCTTGTATGATGGAAAAACAAAATATAAGATAAACCGTTACATACCCTTACTAATGAAGACTACACAAACAACCCCAACTCTCACTCCCTCGATCTAACACTTGTTGCATTAGTCATCACCTCTTTCTTTTTCAACCACCATGCACTCTTATGTGGCTTCTTTAATCATGCCTCTCAACAACCAACATTCACTACACTTCTTCATTTACATTTCTATTTCTTCTCAATCCATTCTCAAATATCTTTGTCTAGTGCAAATCGACCAATATGTTGAGACACTAATGAAGCAAATTAAAACTCTTAAAATTAAACCGAATGCTTCCATCTATATGTCCTTTTGTTTTTCACATCACATATTGCGGATAAAAATTAAACTAAAAAATCTCGACATATTTTCAGTATTTATTGGTGTGCTATAATATTCTTGATTCCTAATAGTGTTGTTGATACTTGTAGTTTGACCAGAATGTCTCTTTCTTCTGTTGTATGATTTTGGGTTATATCTTCCACGTGTTTATGAAACTATCCCAAGATGTCTTAATTTAACTACACTAGGGCTTGGTTTATTTCTATGGAAATGTAGTAGAACTACTCACATTAGTGACATCGTAGTGTCAACATTTTAACTTTTTGGTGCATTAAGCACTTACACATTCAATTTTACCACATGTTTGTTTTATGTAATTTCTTCCAAATTAGGTTAAAATGGTTTGTGTCCCCATATACAACACCTTAGGTGCATTGGTACAAAACCTTGAACTTTTGTACAAATTCATCCAAATTCTACATGGAGCTACTTATTAGGGGTCTCGTGACACTAATCAGATTTACCTGAACCTTACTTTTTAGGATGTTACAACAAAATTCCATTAGGGACAAATATATACGAGATGGTTTTTTTTGTGATTTTCACGATTGTATGTAGAAAATACTAATAATGTAAATTTGTGACAAAGTTAATATTAATTCAAGTATGTCTTTATGATGAGCGTGAAATCCATAGGATTGCTAAATCAATTCAATGAAAATATTGTTATGTGCATTTTGATCATACATTTAATAGTAACCATGTGGGGGTTAATATGTCATAGTAGCATGATATATGTGTTGTGTTATATGATAAGAGAGTTAGGTATTGGCTCTTTTCTCTAGATATCTATACGATGGATGTGTTGTACGACGTGGGAAAGAAAGCAAGTCCTTAGCTTTTTCTCTTTATACAATAGTTTCCCTAACATATGTTATCGCATTGTAGTTATACCACATGATTCTATTTTAAAACACATGGTTTGAATGTATTTTTTTGATGAACATTTATTTGTATAAAATTACGAACTCACCATGCCTCATTCTTACCAAAACCAATTATAAAATATACAACCGAAGAAAAGTTTACAATTGAGGAGAGACATTAGAAGAAACTCTTGAGCGACCCGAAACCTCATAGGTCACTATTGTGTCCATTTTGTTTTTTCTATTTTTTTTTCATTGAATTGTTTATTTACACAATTGTTTTAAGTTTCGATAAGACTTATTATAGTTTAAAGTTTTTATTTTTAAATGGGATATTTTTTATTTATCTACTTAAAAATTATATGTTTAGACATTTACATCCTTTATTTCAATCGAGAAGATAATCATAATGAAGATAAAAAAAATAATTTAAGTTGATTGATGAAAAAGACAAGAGGAAGTACCGCTCTTTTCAAATGCATAACTTTCAAAACTTAATACAAATATATTTAATTTTTGGTATCTAATTATATTTAACTTTATTTTATTAAACTTATAAGATATTAGATTATTTTAGTAGAAAAGACTACTTTCAGTTTATCAACCACGTGCATGATTGTTGGCGTAACTCACGCTTTGTATGAACTGAGGCTAAAACGATATAAACCAACAAAACTGTATATGTGAGGGTGTTTTGGGTATTTCACTTGTAGATTTTTGTTTAACATATCCTATGCTCTTTACCCAATATGCTTAGATGTGATCTCTCGAGTTTCCACCTTCGGTTTTGGGTAAGTATGAAATTGGTTAAAACATAGGGACTAAAATCCTAAAAGAAATATAGATTTTTCTATGTTAATTTTTGAAAAAGAAATTGTAATTTGTATTATCTAAGCTGTTTGCGTCACTCGTCCAATGCTTACTTAGTTGAACATTAGTACTATTTTAGATGTGTAAGGTTTAAACTCTAGACCTTTATACGAAATTTGACTCGTTAACCAAAAAGCTCTCGTAAGAACAAAAACTAACAAATGTGGTCATTTTGAGTGTGCATATGTATAGTCATTTTATTTTCCAAAATATCATATAAATGCGTTATTTAATTTAAGCATAATTTGATTTTTCTTTTAGTGTTGTATAAACATTCCAAATTATCAATATCAAAACAACTAAGGAATTTATAGAATATATTAGTTTAGAATTCAATAAAATAAAAAATAAATAAATAAAAAATAATAAAAACAATAACTCTAAACGGTGTGTAGTATATGCTGTAAAGCAAAGAAAAATATCCAGAAAAGTCCTAAAATTTTACTAAAATTCACAAAAAAAAAATCCTAAATTAAAATTTGTTTACGAAAAAGCATGAATTACCAGTAAAAATAACGTTTTGACTATTTTTTTTTTTTCTGGTTTACTGATTTTATTACTTACATGTTTCACTAAAGTCTCATTATTTTACCCTAATTTGCGAATAAGTCCCAAAATAAAATTTACTGATGATTTGACCATTTTCTTCATTTAACATACATTTTATCGGTTTCATTGTTGACTTAGACACCTAGTTATTAAACTAGCTGATAAGATGAATACAATGAGTTGTATAATGTCACATTTACTGTAAATTTTGATATCCATCTCATCAGCTCATTTATGATTATGTATCTATGTCAGCAATGAAAGCAATAAAATGTGTGTTTCCAAGAAAAAAAGGCAGAAAATGAGTTGATGTATGATGAGATGAATATATTGGGTTACATAAGATTAGATAGACAATATGATATTTCTTATAAACGTAAAAAATAATGCAGTTGTTGTTAGTTTATGTAATTATTGTAGTCTTCGTTGGATGCATTTTAAGTTCCAAAAAGATATACAATACATCAGGATATCAAGTTTTATGCTAAACATAGCATTATATAACTCTACATATCCATCTCATCATCTCATGTAATGACTAAACGTCCAGATCAACAATGAAACCGGTAAAATGTATGTTACATAGAGCAAATGGCAAAATCATCATTAAATTTTATTTTGGGACTTATTCGTAAATTAGGGTAAAATAATGAGACTTTAGTGAAACAGGTAAGTAATAAAACCGGTAAAACGGAAAAAAATGAGTCAAATCGTCATTTTTACCGGTAATTCATGCTTTTTCGTAAACAAAATTTAGTTTGAGAATTTTTCGTAAATTAGCGTAAAATTTTAGGACTTTTCTGAAGATTTTCTTAAATCAAATATACAAAGATAATCGTTTGTTTTGTCAAAAAAAAAAATTAGTATTATTTCATAAATTAAAAATTGATAAATATTTTAATAAAATCAGAAAGTTTTTACATAAATAATATAAATAATACATTTTTGGAAATATAAGAATTAAATCGGTAAGAAGAAACAGTAATTAATCTAATGACAATTTTACTTTTATTTACAAAATTAATTCAAATTCAAGATGCTTTCTCAGTATTGTCCAATGTCCATTTTACGGCCTTGGTCCTTGAGATGGCATTTGATTTCAGAAGTCAAAATTCTTTTAATTTTTTATTATTTGAAGCAGCTTTCAGGAGTCAAAGATTGATGCTTTATTTAACAGCTTTATATTTATTTATTTATATAATTATGAAATGATACTAAAAATTAAATATTTTTTATATTTTATTTTTATTATTATTTTTTATTTTTATAAAATAATGACATATGATATCTATTAATTTTCTTTATTAATCTTTTTTTGATAACTTGCTTTATTAATTTCTTTCTTGATTTTGATAGTTGTTTTAATTTAATGAGTAGAAAGATTAATATGAACAAAATGTGAGATGATATTTGATTTCCATGTTATATTAATAAGATTTTCAAATATTTTGCAAGCAATGAGTGTTTACTCAAGCGAGAGCTTCTACAAAAATATTACAAGAATATTTTTGGTTCCTTTAAATAGGGTATTC